GAGAAATGATCTTCTACCTCCAGCACCTGTCGGCTGCATCAAAGGATTGTCTACTGAAGTCTTTGTCGTGCAGAACATCTCGATGAACACTGTCCTTAACTCTGTTGTAGTGTATTGCTGCAGGACCCTGCCACGATGAGTCATCAAAGAAGTCAAAGTGTTTCGCTGGTCCTGAGACAAATCTGCAAGTGACAGCATGAGTAAGGCAATGAGATTTTCTCCTAGAGGAAATTCGTTCTGATGAAAAGTCCTCATATTGCCATTGATAGTCTGCATGATTTCCTGAATCCTTTCTGCCGTTGGTGCTACTCCAGTCAACGCTGCATCTGCCTGCATCTGAGCTAGGACCTGTGGATGTGCTTGAGTGACTGGTTCTAACATGTCCATCCAACTGCTCATAAGCCTTTGGAGTAAAATCTGGAATCTTGTAATCCATTTCATCATGTCAGCTGATCCTCGATTGAAGCGCACGAATTGCATGAACCTATACAGGAATACATTGGTTGATCCTTTCACGAAATATGGTCGTAGTACTCGTTTGAAATATTCTACGCCGGCTCCTGGTGGATCATTTGCCTTCAATGCATCTCTGTCTAAAACACGCTTGTATACAGCTGCTTCTCCTTCTAATCTGTTTCTCAATGCTGGTCCTCTCTTCTCATCTTCCAGCTCGGTGATATCACACCAATCGTCTATGGCATCCTCATAGGAAAACCATGAAGTCTTTCCATCATAAGATGGGGGCACCTTTGTAGTGACCTGTGTTGTCATTGCTATTGCTGCTGGTTCTCTTCTCACATGCCTATTCACATAGGCTGCTGGCTCATAAGCCACATCCGCATCAGGCTCTTCCCAGTCGTCAATCCAATCCATGGCCGTTTGCCCACTAGCAAGTCTATGCCTAGGAAAGGAGCTCACCTGGGTCTTCCAGGATCACTGCTCCGCTACCACTGAAAGAGTGACTAGGGCGTACACGGTAGAGGTGCAGACCGCTAGTGTCTTTTATGCGCAGAGTCTTATCCTCTTGCTCTTTGAGCCTTGAAGCAGTCAAGCATGGACACACTATATCGGCTGTTGGAGTGGAACCCTGTACAGGTAGGCTCTACTTTTCAGCAGG